TGACGGCCAAGGAGAGCTTCTAGCTTTGCGTGATGTCGAACGCCGGCAGCGCGTGCCCTTGACAGTGGTATCTTGACACCGGAATCCCATTGCAAGAACTTGCACAGCCAGAAGCTCCATCGACGAACAGGGCGAGAGCAAAACACCGGTTGGAGAGGAGCGGCGACTGGGTTGCGTCTGCAGCGGGGCGGCAGTTTCAGCTGCTACCGTGACCGATCGAAAAGGATTGACGCGAGGCATGATCTAGCAAAACAAGTCGAAAATGAAGGACAAGAGAGCAACTTCTAAGAGATTTTTCTTGAGAAGAGACCGAAGCAATTGCTCCTAGATCGTGTTTATTCAGGCCAGCACTCAAACAAATCGGGGCCGTCCACGACAATTCCCATTGACGCGAGCCCATCGCAGCCGCCCATTAACACTACCATGGCTTTCAGTGCCACTAGATTCGCGCCGATTCGCGCCCGTCGCGTACGGAATAAGACAACTGTACTTTCGTACATGGTCAACCATAGGGACGGATAACTATCGACACTGCATTGAATTGTTTCCTAGTCATCCTCATTCCCCCAAAGTGGTCATGCACAGACAATAAGAAATCTTGAGGCGACAAATCCGCGGCATGCATGAGACAGCTCAATTGGAATGAACCACGTACCTTACCATGGTTGGGTGAACGAAATGTAACAAACGTTTGAAACTTTCCAAACACCCGAAGAAAGCATGGAAACTCTAAAACCAAGAGTCAATCCTGGTGAAATATTTCTACAAAGCCACCTACCAAAACAGAAAGTCACTTCATCAGTTACCATCAAGGAATGTATCCTTCTGAAGTATTTTTCATACTTGGGATTCTACAAAGCCCTCTGTCGTCTATGGCTAAATGGTTAAAACAGGATTTGAGTGAAGTTCTTTCTGTGATCGACCATTCTTTTCTCGTCTATTCCCATCCAGGAGGTGAGTAAATTGTTATGGTCTTCCACCATTCTCCCCAAGATCAAGCCATGATGGCATTCACGCATTACGCCTTACTTCCGTCCACTGCGCTGGATCCAACAGCCTCCATGCCCGAAAATATGTGAAGATTGAAGTTGCTGGCCCAAGCCACAAGAGCAAAAATGCGAACGCAAAAACACAATAGCCGGCAAAACGTGGGAGTTCGTCATTCGAGATTAGTGTGAAGGAAAGTGGGCTTCTTGGCGTTGTATGAAGGAGAAAAGGCGTTTCAGAATCCTTGTGATCAATGGCAGTGGGATTAAAAAGCATATCTGGAGGAACAGAGCTCTGGCCAGCCGCGGGTCAATGGGATTCTATGATGCAATCTACAAGGTGGGGAGGATCGAAACATCTGTAATGTCAACGTTTTCCATGATCATCCCCATGGTTCGTCCAAACTCGTACCCTGCAAAAGTATATGGTTATTTATGTTTATGTTATTATTGCTGTTCCTTTTGTGCTTGCCTTCTCCATCACCTCCTTCCTCCACAGTCATCCATGTCTGAAAGAGTCACAATCAAAGATCTGGATGCTGGCTCTATCACTGCTGAAATCTCTATGAGCTCCAAACACAAGCAACTCTAAAATAGCCTTCATGACTATAGTAATAAGCTTTATAATTTTGCTGATTAATTGCTAGAGGCCAGAGGCCCTATATACTTCTAAAGTATGCATGGTAGCAATTGCCAAGTGGTCTTCTGCAAGTAACTGTATGAGATGTTTCAAGCATGATTTTGTTTTCCTATTAAATGCCAGGGCGTGGGTTCAAATCCCACTCTTGAAATGGAATTCAAATTATGCTAAGTATCGGTGCTCCTATTTTATTGTGTACATGGCTAGTTCCAACTCCAAATTGGAAGTCCAAAGGGACCTTCAAATTAACGATGGTCGGCTCTCCAAACTCAAGCAAGCAGCGGGTGGCTACAATTCTCACCAGTTGCTTACTCCGTTGCCTGGCCAGCTGTGATAGACGATGCTGCCAGTTTCAACGCCAGTTTCCTCTCGAGTTTCACGTAGCCTCCTCCAGACTTTCCTCTGGCTATAAAGAGAACAAACAAGAGTATCTCCTAGAACAAATATGGAAAACTTACCTCGATGAAACCAGCAAGACAACTTCACATTCAAGGAACGTACTATGGTTGATGAGCAAGCAATGCTCTCCTTGATCTCTTTCTGGATCAATGACACGCATGATGACAACTTACATATTGAAGTTTTTGCTAGTTTTGTGCGAAGGAAACAAGAAGAAAGAAGAGAAAATTTAAGACATCCTCCATTTCCCCGATTCTAATAGGAAGAAGGCGACGCTCCGGCTCGGTTAGAATCGAGGATAAACCTATTTTGTAACTCGACCTCTTCTACGCACGCGACGAGGATCTGGCAGATTCTTCTTGGATTTTCTTGCATTGCTTGGGGCGGATCACTGCGTTGATCCGGGATGGCAGCTTGGCCACATTCGAGCTGGAACTCGCAAGCCACCACCGCCGACGAGGTGAAATCTTGAATCTTCACGTCTCGGTGTCGGGGTGATTCTGGCAGTGACGTCACTGAGCAACTGCTGATTTCGAGGATCTTGCGCCAGAGATCACTATTCCAGGGCTGTAATTCCGCGTTGCGGAAGATGTAGAGGCCCTGGCAAGCTCGCGCAGATGATCCAGGATTCCTCCATGAAGGACATCTATGGAAGATGATGACAACGATGATCATGAAGTTGCTGCTTGAATGCTTGAAGAAGTATCCTCCAGTGTGATCCTATCTTGTTGTTGCAAAGGCGTGGAGCAGCAGGATTCAAGACAATGACTTTGCTCCCTCAGGCGCTTCCCTGCTTCCATCCCCGGGCGACGGGTTTGAAGCATCTCTTTCCGTGTGGAGGATGAAGCTTGCAGCGCTTCTCAAGCGGCTAGAACTTCCTGGAGAGCTGATACAGGCTCCAGTGCACTGCCACGAGTGTCCAGTGTGGACGAGTTCCAGGGCGAGGAGTGTCGCTGGTGAGCCCTGGAAAGATCGGCTTCCTCCACGTCGCTAGTGTAGCTCTCTGTCCCTGTGCCAGCGTCAAAGATAGGGAAGTGTTTATTTCTGAGTACAAATCCACTGCTGTGCTTTATTGGTCATATGGAAGTGGTCTAGTGCATTTTCACGAGTAGAATGCACACTCCAACGGGTTAAGTTGGAGGACGGTCACACCCCAAGATAGGACACTCCAAGATAGGTGAAGTTCACCATGATGTGGCTTTGGAGAAGATAGTCAATTGGAAAACCACTTGGTGTCTCTGGCAATTGAGTGGAGGAGTGCCTTAGGAGGAGTCTTGCATTCCTTAGGGCATAATGGCTCTAACTTTGCAAAGGAGGTGGAGGGATTAATGAGTAATGCGAGAGTTTTGCTTGAGTTTAGCTTTGTACTTTTTTAGTTCCTTACTTTTTTAGTTTTTTTAACAAGGTTTTTGAAATCATGTTTAGCATAAGCACTATCCTTCTCACCTCATTCTTTCCCTTGTCTTTTGGTTTCTATCAACCACACGTTCTCAAGCACAGTATTCTTTGTGACTCCAGAAACTATCCTCTTAAAGAGTCATTTGTTGAACTTCTCAAGGGAAACTTGCATACATTTCTGAATTGTTATCCTATGGGATCCTTGGGTCATATCTAGTGGGGAAGGAGAGGTGGAGCCAATAAGATTAAGCCATCTCAGCAAAAAGTGACATTGTTCTTTTAGACCTAAACAATTTTCCTCCCCTTTGTGGGACTGTGATTCCATTGTGGGGGTAGTGGGTTTTTCAACATTTCAAGGTAAGAAAATTGGCTAGATAGGCTTGAGAAATTTAGGCATTCTTAAAACCCTGAATACAGCCATTTCTGAAAGATCTTACAGAATGTTGTCCCACTCTTCTCTCGACACAGCCAACAGTGGGAAATGATGACATCATTATGTCTAATGCCTTAATTTAAACAAGTATTTCATTGCTATGTATTCTAAGTAGTATATTAGAATATACATTTAAAGACAAATCATTATGCTCTTCACACTAATAAATTTAGTGTCCTATTTATTAGTGCCTTAAACCTAAACCTCTACTACTTGTGTCTAGTTAAAATTCATGGGTGTAGCATTTTCCATTTTATCAAAGGCAAGTTTTGATTTCCACTCAAAGCTATTACATAATGAGCAAGTAATCCAAAGAAGAACTGCAAAAGTGATTGTACCCCATAAATCACATGGCTTATATACTTTTCAAAACTCAATAGCTTTGTTGAGGTGACTATGTCAATCATACTATTATTAGTTAACATACTATAGTGTAGACCATCCCTTCGACTTTGAAAGGCAACATAGTCTATTCTTTTGAAGTGTTGAATAAAGTTGCACTTTCATATTACAAGGTTTATACTAAAGTTCATACAAATTGAAATGTTAATATATGCCAACTTTGTTATTCTTGAAGAAGAATTGATTGTCTTCCTTAATTACAAGAGCAATCAAAATATTAATATGTATAATCTTATTGTATAATCTTATTCAATTGCTAGAACAATCAAAATGTAAATCATGGGCTGATTAACTTCTCCAAGTTAGAAATGGTGAAATTTTTTAAAATTTACCATCTTTACCCTTTAACTCCATTTTATTACCTCATACATAATTAATTTATTCATGTCTCCATCAGTAAAACTATGCAACAGCACATGTCTCATCCTGAAAAATGGTGCTACTAAATATTTTAGATTGTGAAATGTGATGGGACAATTTAAAGAAACAAGAGTTTTTATCCCACACATACACTAATGCTATCAAATATAAAATTCCATTCAAAATGTGTAAAAAGCAATTTCCAATCCATTTAGGTTATTGCTTAACATGACTAAGTTAGAGTTTATTTGCCCCACCCAATTTTCACTCAAATTTATGTAACTTTATCAAAATACACATCACTTAGAATTAAACTTTCCTCAAGATCCCTTTGTTTTTACAATCAACACCATAAAGAGGTTTTATATTAAACCTCTTTCTAAACCGCTGAGCCTGAATTTAATTATGCTTAGAATATACTCCCAGCTCTCATTTCTTAAAGCACACATCATCCACCTTGAAAAGGCTTTGGGCAATCGTGGTAATATAGGGTGAATGTGTGTCACAAAGCACTAAGCAATCACGATTCATCAGCACCAGACGAGGACGCGACCGTGATCCCGTGCTTGACGAGCAGCTTGTTGAGATTGGCAGCCGAGCAAACCTCGTACTTGACCGCCCCGCTCTCGGGCACCACATACAGCTCCGCCAGCTCCAGCTTCTCCGCCGAGAGGCTGGTGCTATCCATCGTCTTGCTCAAAACCTTGAGCGCCAGAGCCACCGCCTCCTCCCTCGTGATCTCATCCTTGTAGTCCTGCTTGAGCATCGACTGCGCGGCCTGGTTGTTCGCCCCGATCGCCCCCGCCTTCCATCCGCCATAGTTGCCGCTGGGATCGCTCATGTAGAGCTGGAAGCCATAGCTCGAGTCGTAGCCGGCGAAGATGAACGACACCCCGAATGGGCGGAGGCCGCCAAACTGCGTGTAGCCTTGCTTGGTATCGCACAGCGATCGCACGAGCTGCTCCACGGGCATGGGCTCCTGGTACGAGAGCGTGTAGCCCTGGGCGGCGACTCGGGCGGTGTTGATGAGGATGTTGGCGTCGGCCATGATCCCTGCCACCGCCGCCGCGACGTGCCCATCGATCTTGTACATCTTCTCTGTGGATCGCGACGCGGCGAGGAGCTTCGATGTGACGCGCTTCTCCGCCGCCAGGACGACGCCGTCGCGAGCCAAAACCCCAATCGCAGCGCCCGCGTTGCTGATCGCCTCCATGGCGTACTCTACCTGGTAAAGCCGCCCCTCGGGCGAGAAGATCGTGGTGCGACTGTCATAGCGCCTCGACATTCTTGCTTGCTCGCTCTCCTTCGCCCTAGCCCGGATCCTCTCAAAAACCCTAAACTTTGATTAGGAATAATGCCAAGAATGTTGCTTAAAAATATTCTCTAGCATATTCGATAGCATTTTTTCGGCATTTTCATCCATAGCTATGCATGCACACGATACAATCACCACACGCTGGTCCTTTTTTCTCGATCGGCAAAGACACGTCGCCTCCCACTGCCAAGAACAAGCGAAAGAAGGAATGAGAGAAGAGATGAGAATGGAAGTTTGTTCGTACCCATCGTGTAAGAAGCGGTCGGAAGATTGAGAACTGTGGTCTTGATCTTGGTCATCAAGTTGATGCTGTTCGTGACCCCTTGTGATCCCACGCCGCTCTCACGGATTCCCTGCGAAACATCCAGAAAACTATAGTTACAATGCATTGCTTTTCGAATTATAGCTCGACCTGGAAAGGGAAGTGATCGGGACCACGAGCCGGAGCGGAATTTATTTGGATCGTTCCGCTTTCCATGGCATCGCTCAGGAGCATAGCTTTGTTGATATCGGATGTGAAAACACAGCCCTGTCACGGGAAAACGAAAGCACGTAAGCTTCTTTTGGCTTCCATCGGGAATATGAGCTTACTTGGAGTCCATATTTGCTAGAGTTGCAGTGCTTGACGCCTTCTTCTGGAGTCTTGATGCGCATGACCGGTATCACGGGGCCAAAAGGCTCCTCCCACGCGATTCTCATGTCCGTTGTTACGTTATCGATCAGCAATGGCCATATCAGGTTCCCTTGCCTCTTCCATTCCTGTCGTGAAAATTCTTTTCAAGCTGAATCATCCAAAAGGAAGTTATGATCGACTTGCTTGGCAAAGCTTCGCATTCTTGGCTTTTGCATCCGTGACCAGGCCTTCGATAAAATTTGCCGACGCTTCAGTCACAACCGGGACAATATCACAGTCGTTCTCAGGAGGCCCAACTTTCAGCTGTGCCACCTTTGCATTCACGCTGGAAACCAGCTTGTCTGCTACGGATTCCATCACCAGCACGACTTTAACTGCCGTACAGCGCTGCCCACTGCAAGAACGAGCATTTTCAGACCAAATTGAGGGACAAAATACAAAAGTATGCACCTGAAGGAAAAGCCTCCTTTTATAATGTTCGTCGCTGCCAGTTCAATGTCGCCATCCTCAAGAACAATCATAGCATCCTTCCCACCAAGCTCCATTTGCAGCGGCACCATTCCAGCCTTCTTTGATATCGACATACCAGTGTCACAGCCACCCGTAAAACTGCACATTGAAACCAATAACCAAATACTTCTATAAGAGAAACCAGCCTACAGAAACATTTCTTACCTGATGCAGTTTACTAGAGGATGGGTGGTAACATAATCGCCAAGCTCTGATGCTTTGATCGGAACACACGAAAGTAGCCCCTTTGGAAATCCTGCCAGGTGAAAGCAATGCATCATGTGTAACGTTGACACCGAGCCCTGCGTCGGTGGCTTGACCACTACAGCATTTCCAGCAATGAGAGCGGGACCGATCTTCGAGCAAGTCAAGTTCACGGGATAATTGAATGGAGGAATCGCCAGAATGACTCCAAGAGGGGCCTGCGAAAGAAGTTAAATCAAACTACTGTAACTCATAGGAAAGAAAGAGCAAAGACCAACGTTTGAAGCAAGGCACAGCTTGTTCCTTGGATTCCCGGGAAAAGAATCCGAGACGAGAAACTTTCCCTCGGAGAGTATCCTGATTCCTTCTTCCGCAGTATAGGACAGCAAATCTGCGGAGCGAACAACCTGAAAAGCCCAATCAAACGAGTCTGGAAATGCTGCTTACTTTGCAGGATCAACGTTTTTTTTATGAGACCTCGGTGACGGAATCCTTGGCTGGCTTGGCCACTTCTTTCACCAGACACTCGGCGATCGGTCCCTTGTTCTTTCTCATGATCTCTGCCACCTTGTGGAGCATTTCGGCTCGCTTGTAGAGCGGAGTCTTGGCCCATATCTTCTGTGCCGCCTTCGCACTTTGGAAAGCTTGGTTCACCTCATCCTTAGAACAAGCTACAGGGACAAGAAGAAGAAGAAGAAGAAAAAAATCAGCTCATGTTCAGAGAAAACTAAGAAAAGATCGAGTGTAAGCAGCAAAGAATGCTATATAGCTACATTCTAGTACCCGAACCATGCTTCTATGAGACCAATCTCTAGAATGGATGATATAGCTACATTCTGGTACCCGAACCATGCAATGCTTCTATCGGTTAACAATCTCTTGCACGAACCATGCAATGCTTATCGGCTAGAATGGATGCTATAGCTGCAATGCTGCTACCAATCTCTAGAATGGATGCTATAGCTACATTCCAGCACCTGTGATCTTGTACGCTTGCTTCCCAGCCACTGTGGGATTGTAGACGTATGAAATATTCCCGGACGAGGAGAGCCGCCACTGTCCATCGGCGTAGAATTTGTAGACATCGCCTTCGACTATCTCCTTGAATGTGCCGGTCCCGGCCATTCTCCCACCGGCGCCGCCTCGCCAAGCGACATAGCTCCTCCTCTTTCTCTTGGCCGCCCTAAAACACGCTCAAAGATCCGCGTTTCGAATCCTGGAAGAAAAGGCGCGAAAATTCTAATTGCATATTCTAGAATCTCCTGGAAAAGCGAGCATTCTAATTCTTTGCGTTTAGGGCTAGGGCTCTTGGCTGGAAGCATGCAGCCCGACGGAGAGGACGCCATGGCGTTGCCATCGCCAGCTGCGGCGGCGCTCGTCGCCACCGCCAGCGTCGCGACGCAAGCTGCCGTGGCGAGGCAGCGGCATCGCAAGCGCAGCCACGAGGAATCGCGAGTAAGCTCTACTCCTTCTAGGTCTAGATTTTCCAAGAATGCGATTGAAATCTCGATTGCCAGAGCGCGGATTTCGGTAGAACAAATGGGGAGCTTCTTGTGGACGATCGCAACAAGTACCGGAGCATGAGGACTCGAGTCCAGTCGTCGGTGCTCATGATCGGTGGCTTTGCGCTCATCGTCTATCTCGGCCACCTCTTCATCGCCTTGATGATCGTGGTCATCCAGGTGCTCATGGCCAAAGAGCTTTTCACGCTCGCGAGAGCTTCTCACAGGGAACGAGATGGACAGCCTGGCTTTATTAGGCTTAATTGGTATGTATATTTTTTTTTTCTTTGTATATCAGGCTTCCACACCTTGATCTTGTGCAGGTACTTTTTCTTCACAGCCATGGTATATGCCTACGGTAGGTTCTTGAAAAAGCAGTTTGTGAATACCATCTCATCCGACAAGATTCTCCTCATGATCTTCAGCGGGCTCATCAAGTATCACACGATGATCTGCTATCTGATCTATATCACAGGTTTGTTGTTTTCTGAAGCGTGTAGCTGATGTTCTACTGTTTCTTGTAGGATTCGTTTCGTTTATCCTCACCCTTAAGAAGCGGATGTATCGGCAACAGTTTGGAGAGTTTGCTTGGACGCATATGATACTGTTCGTCGTTTTCGCGCAGTCGTCTTTCACTGTCGCAAATATTTTCGAAGGCATAATATGGTCAGTGCGGCGTCAGTTCACTTTATTTTACTCTGTCTCTCACGTCCAATGTCGTAGGTTTCTTCTCCCGGTCTCGCTGATCGTGATCAACGATATTGCTGCCTACTTGTTTGGATTCTTTTTTGGACGAACGCCTCTTATAAAGCTGTCGCCGAAGAAGACTTGGGAGGGCTTTATTGGTGCTTCTGTCACGACTATAATATCTGCTTTTTTGGTAAGACCACGAGTGAGAATATTTGCAGTAGATTTTACTGTTGTAATTGTAGCTGGCGGATATCATGGGAAGGTCACAATGGCTGATTTGCCCGCGGAAGGTAGCCCAAACGGCCTTAGTCAATTTCTAATTTGAAGCCAACGGTGGAAATATCTTTGTAGGATTTGACAGTGAGTTGGCTGGAGTGCGATCCGGATCCCGTGTTTAAGGATGTTCAATATCAACTTCCGTCCTGGATAACCTTTGTGGTAAGGGAATTCTTGTCCTTGCTGTAGAGTCACATTTCTCTTTGGCAGACACGCCGGGAGTACGTAGAGGTGATGCCTTTGCAAATTCATGCACTTGTGTTTGGATTGTTTGCCTCGAGCATTGCCCCCTTCGGTGGATTTTTTGCCAGTGGCTTCAAAAGAGCATTCAAGATAAAGGTACGATTTAGCTTGGCATGCAGCTTGTGAGCATTTACGCTAACTACCGTTGCACAGGACTTTGGAGACAGCATTCCCGGGCATGGAGGAATGACAGACCGCATGGACTGCCAGGCATGTCACTTTTCCTCAGATTTTGTGAACCGTTGTTTTGCTCATACTTTGCGAACCGCAGATGGTTATGGCCGTGTTCTCGTACATTTACCTCCAGTCCTTCATTTCTTCGCACAACTACACTGTAGAAAGCTTTCTGGCGCAGGTATTCGAAGTTATTTTCTTGCACACTCCTCATGTTGCTTCTGGTGTTTGGTTTTGAGAAGATTCTAGCCCATCTTTCCAAGGAGGAGCTGATAGAACTCCACTTACGGCTTACAAATATCCTGCTGCAGCAGAACTAAAACTAGTAAGTATGTGGATTTAGTCCTGACCAAGTAATTATTTACGTATCACGCAGGCTTTTGTGGTCACTTGTAGGAGCTGCTGTACATTGTACTGTAACTTCTAGGCTGGTGTATAGCTTTTACGTTGCGAGAATCGATTCAAGTAGCATATACCTGTTCTTGGTTATTCGACTTGGCGACTATCTGCCACGCGTCACGCGCTAACTGCTGACACAAATCGGACGGCCCACTGGTCGACAAGTGTTAGTCGTCAAAATGGTCACTTGCCGCAACGAATCGCATACTAGGTCTGCTTTTCTCATTCTCGAGCTCCAGGAGGTAAGCTCCATTGTGAGAGTCTGTAGCGTAGTTTCTCTATCTGATGTGATCGTTGTTCCTTGGCAGTTTCTTAAGCTCTAGTCCACCAAAATGGCCAATGGAGGGACCGATGTCAAGCAAGGCCCCAAAATACTCCTGGAGAAGGTGCCACACCTCAAGAGCTTCCTCCCGGACTTGCGATCCTATCCCAACCCGCTCTACCAGAACAGTTACTTCCATCCGGTTCCGGGGTTTTTCGTCACGGACAGAGAGGCCATCGCCCAGAACATCGTCATGGACGTTGACAAGCCGGTCGATCAAAACCAGCGCTACTTTGCTCGGGCAGGACCTCGAGAGCGCGTCTTCTTCGAAGGCGAGGAAGTGAAAGTTGCCATCGTGACGTGCGGTGGCTTGTGCCCGGGGATGAACACGGTCATTCGCGAGCTGGTGAACGGTCTGTGGTATCAGTATCACGTACGTGATATTAGGGGGATTCAGGCTGGCTACCGGGGATTCTTCTCTTCGGAGCACGTCCCGCTGACACCCAAGGTTGTGGATCACTGGCACAAGCAGGGAGGAACCAGGCTGGGAACTTCCAGGGGTGGCTTCGACTTGCAGAAGATTGTGAACGCGATCCAGGATCGAGGCTACAACATTGTTTTCCTCATTGGAGGGGATGGAACTCTTCGTGGTGCTGTGGAAATCTTCAACGAGATCAAAAAGCGCTCGCTCAAAGTCTCCATAGCTTGTATCCCGAAGACTGTGGACAACGATGTCGGCATAATTGACAGGTATCCTAGATTAAAAAAACGAACTTTTCTTCTTCTTTTTCCTTTCGTTTTCGACAAGTGTGAGTAACTTTACGCGCTGGTGCGCAGATCATTTGGTCTCCAGACTGCTGTGGAGGTGGCACAGGAAGCCATTAGTGCAGCTCATGTCGAGGCGGAAAGCACTCCAAACGGCGTCGGGCTTGTCAAGGTTATGGGACGCTACGCCGGCCACATCGCCGTGAATGCAACGCTGAGCAGCAGGGACGTGGACTGTTGCCTCATTCCAGAGATCAAGTTCTTCACGCAGGGCCGAGGTGGACTCTTCGAATTCATGGAGCAGCGGCTGATGGACAACGGGCACTGCGTCATCGTCATGGCGGAGGGTGCCGGGCAGGACTTGCTGGACGAGAACTTGAAGGAGTCGACCAAGGATGAATCCGGCAACGTCTTGCTCCGGGACATCGGACTGTGGCTCAGCAGCGAGTTCAAGAAGTGGTTTAAGGAGAAGCACCCGGACAAACTCTTCGCCGTCAAGTACATCGATCCGACTTACATGGTTCGTGCCGTCCCAAGCAACGCGACCGACACTCTCTACTGCACCATTCTCGCTCACTCGGCGATTCACGGGGCCATGGCTGGCTACACGGGCTTCGTCGCAGGGCCAGTGAACGGGAACTACTGCTACATCCCTCTGGAGCTGGTTGCGGTGACCAGGAATCCAGTGGACGTAAACAATCCATCGTGGGCGTGGGTGCGATCGGTGAACAACCAGCCAGACTTTGTTCCTCCGGGCGATGATCGTCACAAGGCGCAAGAGAAGGCCGTCCAAGCCAACTTAACACATTGATGTGGCTTGGCACAAAATAAAAGAGCTATTGTTCTTGTCTAGAACAATAAGCATCCAACGGTTAATTTTTAAACTATTTTAGGGTATGTCCCATCCAACGGCTGATTTTTATAGAAATTAGGGCCTCATCCAAAGGTTGATTTTTAAAGGATAGGAGAGTAGCCTTATCCAACGGTTGAGTATGCTCAACGTGGCACAAAGATGCCTCTGCCACGTGTCACGTTTAATTAATCAATAATAATACTGTTACGGTAGTTAAGTGGAATACTTTTAGATGGCCAGCTTCAAGTTGAGATCCACATCTTGGGCGCTGCTGCGACGGCGACGATGATGCTGATGATGATGGCGATTATCCTGCCGGTGGGACACGGTGATGCTGTGCTCCACCTCCTCGATCGTTGACACATCCGTGAAGGAGTTGCCATAAGAGCTCGGAGATTTCTGGCTGCTGCTGCCATCCTCCACATCAGTCAGTGTTTCCTGGATCCAAAATAATGTCATGTCTGTCATCAGTCACCAGTGACAACGAAGGAAACCCAAAGAGAGCAGAAAAGAAAAGAGGGAGAGAGGAGGTATGTCATCTATAATATCGTACCTGCAGCGACAGTGACGATCTTTGCTGCTGCTGCTGGGCAGCGGCGGGAGAAGCGTTGGTGTTGGCAGAGCAAATCAGGCTCCTGCCGCTGGACTCGACGTCGCTGTGCGAGATTGAAAGGCTCAGGGCGAGGAAGTCAGCCCCTGATGACACCAGAGCCTTTTTCGCCGCCGAGCATGATGTGGAGTCGAGATAGCAAGCAGCCGCGACTCGCTTGCGCAGGAATGGCATGCTGGAGACGCTGGACGTGCTGCTGTCGGTCGGGTGGTGCTCGCTCTTGACGAGATTGTCAAAGCCAGGCGCGGCACCAATGCAACTCGGCTGCTGCTTGATTGCATCGGCCTTAAGAAACGGCAGCGATGATTTGCCAAGCGCATTACTGCACGCAAACAAAAGCGACTCTCAGTTCCATGATTCGGTCGACGACACAGCATTGAAGCAACGAGAAAAGAGAGACAAGAGACTGGCCACCCACGCACGCAATACCTGATGCTCCGAGGCGTATAGTGCGCGCCCGGCTTGAGAATGTTGTCGGCGGTTTCACTCTGTGAAGAGTTGGAGTGGATTTCCCCGTGATCCAGGGAAATCACGACGCATGGACGCTGCTTCTCCACAGAAGCCTGCCAGGAAGAAAGAGAGTCAATCTCCCTGTATACTTTACGCGAGCAAACGCCCAGCACAAGGAACGAGCGAACTTACATTATGCATGCTAGGCCACACTTGGTGTCCTGGAAAGTTTGTTTGGAAAGAAGAGAGCTCCTTGGGAATGCCAACCTTGAGACAGCCAGCCAGCGCGAGGAAACAAAAGAGAGAAACAAATGCTTGTTAAAAGCTTCACGAGTAGAGCGAGGCTTAGAAAACACGAAACGTACCATAGACAATTCCCTGCAATCGCGCGGCATCGGGAGTGACCCCGGTGGCAGCGACGCATCGAAAAGCTGGCCGGAATTCACACCCAAGGGGTGATGCTCGCCACCAGCTTTTCGCTGCTGCTGCTGCTGCTGCTGCTGCTTGACCACCATCGCATCCTCGTTGCGCGAGGAGCTGGAAGAAGCAGCCGCGCGCATCATCGCCGCAGCCATGAGACCCCCGGCATTCTTATCAGGAGGAGCTCGAGGAGGAGGAGCCACCAAGGCCGGCACCAGAGGCGAGGATTTGGACGTGGCCACCATTCGCGCCACCTCGTGCTGCTGCATCAGAATTTCTAGCGGCGATGGCTCCACGGACGGATCACAGCCTCCCGGCGAGAACCCCCCATTTCGATGATCCGGCGAGCCACTGCTGCTGCCCCTGTAGCCACTCCCAAAGCCCAAGATCCCCTTGATGTGGTGGGGGTGGTGGTGGTGGTGCCGCGGAGTCGACGAGAGGAGAGGATAGACATCCTGGTCCAGGAATCCATAGCCGGATGGCAGCGGCACCAGGCCCAGCGACGCCAGGCACGCCGATTCCTGCTTGCTCTCCTCTTGCAATCGCAGCTTCTCTAGCTGCGCCACGCCCAATCCCCGCTGCGGCTGCTTCTTTGGCCCATTCTTGCTCTTGCGCGACCGGCCGCGCGCTCCCTGGAGGAGCGAGGACGATGGCTCATCGCCGCCGCCTCCCCTAGAGATCCTAGACACGACCTTATCGGCCGTGAAGTGAGCGCTGCCGTGATGCCCCAGCCCCGAGAGAACCTTGTCGTGGTCCGAGGATCTCACCACCAATGCGGCCATTCTCGGGCGAAATCGCGGTGGAATCACGCCGAAATATCGCTGCCCCGGGCCTCGCCGCCCTCCATCTCGTCACACATTGCCAAGAACAAGGAAGGGAGCGCTACGCGCTCGCGCGGCGAATGGATCGATCTCCCCTTACATAGGCTCGAACCCTGGCAATGGAATCGAAATCCCAGTGGTACCTTGCACCGCAGCTCTACCTAGCTCGAATCGATCACAAAGAGAATGCGATCGTCGCTCTCGCCGCTAGCGCTCGCTCCTCCACTTCTTCACATTGGCCTCAATATTACTCTCGCTAAAATAACCTCATCCTTAACAGTAGAACCCTAATCCCCCGTGGCACTGCCGTCGGATGGCCGCCATCGGACGACGCTAATCCCCCGCCACATCCCGGCCGTTGGATCCCCGATCCAACGGTCAACGCGGCATTTAACTGGCTGCCCCCGTTACGTGTGTCGCGCGCGCCGTAAAAGCCAAATCGCGCGGTAAGTTAACGGGAGGAAAGCTTACCGGCAGGGTAATCCAGCTGACTGACACCTGGCGGGCGCAGCCGGTAGCGCGCGCAGGCTAAGATCTGGGCCACTACTGGGAAACTGGCGCAGTGCCAGTCAATGCGTGACATATTTTGGCAGGCTGGCACAAATTCCAGTTCCCCGCAGCAAACGTACGGCAGGGTACGGCCCGGTCACATTAATGCGGCGGCCGGCGATTCAGCTGTGTGGCCCCCTCATGGGAGTACGTACGAGGGAATCAGATCTGGGGTTCGATTCCCAGCGCAAGCGTTTAGCACGATGCCCTTTGTAATCTAAATCTTTGTTTCCAAAGATTTCCAGTTTTCGTGCGGCAGTCTTTGGATGAATTTCTAGAAGCGATGGACACCGCCCAAAATTCTTGGCGTGGACAGGCTTTGAAAATGCCGCGAGAGGGGAATCCGGATTAGGTCAAGGTGGCGTGGATCCAACGCTAAAGAGATCCATACGCATGCCGCTGGGGGCGTGATAAGTGGCATAAAACAATGGGCAAATGCCCAGTACACTTGGTGTATAGATTGTATAATTGACACAGTCCAAGATGCCCGCGCGATGAGCTAGCTGATTGATTGACTGATTGATTGATCCATGGACGGAAGAGAATCTCAATCACAGACAAAAAGCCCGGGGAGAGATTTAGGGTTTATCGCGCTTAAACCCTATACCCAAAAAGAGACGCGACGCTAGATTTGCAATGCCGCTGTTGGGCACTACACGGCCCATGTTTGGTCGGCTGCTATCATCCCACACGACAAACGAATTCCCTCAAATTCACCTTTCATATATGCCACCAAATCTAGCGGGCGGTCCCCCAGACTTGGCAAAACTAGCCTTAGCCCACTTTGAAAACGTCAAAAGAGATAGATCATCATCATGTAGATAGATATAGCTGGGGGAAGGCGTTACATCGCAGGCCCTGTACCATCGCCAATGGGAAAATTCCACATCGGCCATTGGTCAGAAAAATCATAGTCCTTTGGATAGAGACGTACCACTAAGCGAGAACCACAGCAGTCGCTCTGCTCGGCGAATATACCACCTTGGGTGACCGCCACCTGGCGCCCAGTTTCTTGCCTGCCAGGCCAGACGATTTGGCCACCCCACTTCTGTGCCAATGAGCGTCCGGCCAAATCCAGCTCGCGTAACCAAATTGTCTGAAGTGGCCAGTGGATAGATAGGAATATCCGCCACGCATTCAAAGGTCATGCTGAAAAAGGTGGTGGTGCCAAGATTTAGGGCAAATGCAATGCTCCGCAAAGGTCACTTTCGATTCGGACCCATTGCGAAAGAAGAAAAGTTGGCCTAGGCTCTATTTTTCGTGCGTGGTGTTGTGCACCACCTTGCTATTGTTGGTAAGTCTGAGGTAGGTGCCCGCCACCTTTCCACATCCGAGCGTGCGTGAGTATTAGGGCAACACATTCAAAGCATGTAGTTTAGGTGGGAGCCAGTCAAAAGAGTCCGAACCAAGATCAAGATCCCTGCTTCAACGTGGCAGTCAGAAACAGATTGTTTGTTGGGCCGGCAAAAATATTTCGTGGGCTGGCCGTACGAGCAAAGGTGGCGGGTTTAGGTGTGTGTGTTTGTTTGGAGTGGAATATCTGCGCGAGTACGGGTATGGGTCAGTCCCGGATCCAATTCCCCGGAACTGGAAATCAGTTGAGCGGTGCTTTCCTCGACCCATTCTTTTGCTTTTACCCTTTGCACCCCTTTTACCTTTGGGGGTTTTATTCGTCCCCTCCACCACCTTTTACGTCATAAACCTTTGCGGGTCGGGTCAATTCGTCAATCAGTCAGCAGTCAGTGTGACCCAGAGTGTGTGTTTTGGGGTCACAAGCAAAGCGTGACACCGAGATAGACGAGCGAGACGTGTGTGATCAAAGGGCAAAAAAGATGATACGGAAATGGATTGGACCGAGGGATGCATGCCTTAGAATCGTGGTGGGCCTGCGCTCTCCATCCCAATGACATATCTTTGTTGCATAAAAGCCAGATCTTTGTGGATGCCTCCAAGCCCGGCTCGCAATCCCTGTGGGGCTGGGGGGGGTAAAAGGCGTGTAAAAATCTTCTACTTTTCCTTTACCACTGGCTGCCTGTTACTCCCCTATCATCTGTTTTGTGTGCTGGTGTGCTTTGGTGGGGGTGTCAGCCAACCCTGTGTATCCTTGTCCCCGCAATCCGAGACAAGGCTCTTCATTGAGCGCCAGGACCACTTCCTCCAAATTCTTTTCCTTTCCTAGCCTAAATTGTCTAATTGGGTGTGTGATAAAATACCATAGCCTTGTGCACTGCATGTAGCTATAGGAATATTAGACACCCAAATATCTTGGAATAGTCCAAGGCATATGCCTCCCGCGGTGTACGGCTTGGGCCATATGGCCACTTTAGGAAAGAAAAAGGTGGGAAAGCGACGGTAGCCGGTTTCAACGGGCGATGTGGACTGAATAATGTGTGGTCCCGATCTGGCGCTCCTGTCACGTGGGCTTGTCTCGGCCGTCGGTATCCAGACGGTAGATCTCCCGGGCATTATTTTAGTAGTAAGTATTATTTTAGTCAATTAAGCTTGTTTAGTGTTTGTGTTGGCAGCGAGAAACATACCATTACTGTGGCCATGACAGTGTGTGCTCGAAATTTCACACACGCCCTAAACAACAATATAGAATGAGATTTGATTATTTTTCTTTTGGGCACCCACAAGCCACATGGTGATAAGGTTGAATAAGGAGGTGACAGCGTGATCTGATATGAACCTTTGGAGTTTTTGATATGGCGAGTGCTGGTTATCCAACCTACACTGCGCATTGATGTTGGTGGCGGGGGAATATTATCAATCAATATTTAGCAAATTGGATCCTGTCTTTTGGAAAGTTTAATGTGATTTTCTGGTTGGGCATGAGCAATGGCCACGGGATGGGTTCAAGAGGTGAAAGAGAATCTAATGCCAAAGTTGCAATGCTGATTCAGGCCTATTTAGAGCCATCCAGGCCAAATAGATTACAATTCTTATATTCTTTGTCCGCTCGGGGAGAAAGAAAAAAAAGCATATGTTGATCTGCAAACCAATGCTTTTGATTTCATTGGATTTTTAATCACAGCCCAGTGCGTTCTTAATGGCACAGAGGAGACAGGCCTGGAAGCAGCTGGGGGCGATTCTCCAGGACCAGAAAGCGTGACTAATCAAAGAGCCACGTAAAGAGAAGCTCAAAGAACTATACGAAACAATGGAAAACATGGAAAGACGATGGAAACAAGCTCTGCGATGAAACAATGGAAAAAACACAACATCCAAGAACATCTTCTCGACGATTCATGACCCACGACAACCTGGAGAGTCTACATGAGAACTCAGAAAACGACGGAAACTTCATTGTAAACTTACGGATTGCCTAGAACTGGGGACGGCCCTGCTGAAACCGGGAGGTGAAACTTTGCCCTCCGCATTCTAGCTCGATCTTCATGCCATCCCGAAAGCTGAGAACATACTCGGAGCACAAGTTTATGAGCTCGTGGCCGAGGACGAAATCGTGGCGAGCCAGATTCATGACCGCGAAATCCAGGCATCCCTTGAACCCGCCCTCGAGCTCAAACTCGAGGTCCGCCACTTTGCGATTGCTGGGCTGCGCGGTGCTCCCCACAAGCAGGTTGACGCTAAACGGATGGCACAGCGAAGTCGTCAGCCCGAGGCGGTTGACGGCGTTGACCGACACGAAGCTGTCCGAGTTCTGGCTGAGCATGAAGGACGCCGGGCGGCCGTTGACAGTGCCCCGGAGCCAGCGGCCATAGTCGTCGTCGCCCACGAAGGACACCAGGCACGTCTTGGCCAGCGGCGCCGCCGTGAGCTCGGCTACCAAGTCTTGAGCCTCGTTCAAGCTGCCTGGCTGCTTGCCCGCCACGAACTCGGCCACCTCAGCGTTGGGCACCGACTGGAGAAAGCTGCATACCTCGAGAGGAAGAAGCTCCATTTCTTGCCCTAGGACCGTTTCAGGAGAAGAATATACCGGTGCTTTTAAAACCCTGCATTAGGGTAGGGAGCGACTCAGGAACGTTAGCAGGGAATATTCGCACCTTGTTCTTTTCGGCCAAACCCATGCATTATTCAGACATGGTTGTTTTCCTTGATGATCTTTGTCATAGTTTCTGAGCCTTGTAGCTTGATCTTATTCACCACCTGAACAACGATGACAAGTGTGGTTACAGCGAGTAGGTATGAGACTTCTAGGAGAGGCCCTCTACCACGTCCTCTCGAGAAAGAGTACCCGATGTCATGCACTGGCATTGGGATACGTCTTGGAGCTTGCAGCTTGATGCCGTCGCGAACGTGAGAGTTGAGTGGATGAGCTGGCCAGCTAAGGGTCACAGTTCCAAAGCACCATCAGGATATTGATCCATTGATGGTTTCATAGGTAGCTTTTATTGATGAGGCTGTTCGCAAAGCTTATATAGCTTCGTCTTCTAAAACGATAGCCGAGCTTGGGAAACGCTAAAACCATGAGAATCATAACTTCTGGACGATGTCCAAGCCCTTTCATCACCTGCAAGTTAACAGAACTGAAAAGAGCAGCGAGCAGAAACTCACGCCGTTTACTCCTCAAACTGGGGACGCCCCTGGTGGAACGGCGAGGTAAACTTCTGCCCACCGCCTAATCCAAAGTCGACCTTGATGATACCATCATCGTCCTTGTAAATCGCCTCGGAGCACACCTTCAAGAGCTGGTGCCCGAGGACGAAATCGTGGTGAATCAGATCCATGACTGAAAAATCCATGCAGCCCTTGTAGCCGCCCTCGAGCTGAAACTTGAGTTTGCGAACTTTGCGATTGTGGGGCGGAGAGGGGTTCCAGCCCAGGAACTTGACGCAAAACGGGCGGCATAGCGTCGTGGTCGGCCCCAGCCTATTGACCGCATTGACCGACACGAAGCTGTCCGAGTTCTGGCTCAGCATGAAGGATACCGGGCGGCCGTTGACCGTGCCCCGGAGCCAGTTGCCGTAGTCCTCGTTGCCCATGTAGCACACCCAGCACCGCTTGGCCAGCGGCGCCGCCGTGAGCTTGGCCACCACGGCTTGGGCCTCGCTCACGCTGCCTGGCTGCTTGGCCGCCACGAACTCGGCCACCTCGGTGTTTGACACCGATCGAGAGAAAGAATCTCCATTCTTTCCCAACTTTTCTTGCCCTAGGTGTTCGTTACTGGGACCCAACGGAAGTTTGATCAAGCTTGCTCCACAATGCGGCTGTAGGAGCATAAACAAAGAGCGAAGGAGTGAGGAGTGAAGGCTTTCTTTCAGTAAAAGCAATACACTTTCCTGGTTGTTCTTGGTCTTGGACAAGGAAGTCCAGCTTAAATTAACAAATCTCACATGTACAAAATTATTAACAGTATATAATTTTTGGAACCTGTATCTAAAATATACTAAAATATTCTGGTTTATTTTACTATCTAAAGATTGTTATTCATTTTGTATCTATAATTTATAAACTTTCTTAACCACTTACTAGTATATTCTAAGTTAATCTGATGTTTATAATTTATAACACAAGATTAATTTTATTACAAGTTATCAATGTGATTAATAAATAAAAAGCACTCAAATTATTTAATTTCTAATTTTTGAGAAGATAACCAATCGTTTATGACATCTCCCACAATGATATCGCTCCATTCAGTACAAACACGTCCCATACAAGAACTTCCCACGTCCTCCAGTTTATCTGAGTCACTAAGAAATAAGAAACAAGAAAAGAATTGCTTTCTACCTGATTAGCAGAATGGTGTTGCTTGACGTCTTCAATCCCTTCGTTGGTAGCATGAAGGCAGAAGAGCAAATTTATTGATCTTTCATCTTTATTTCATACATAACTATTTTCATATCGATCTTTAGTAAGGTTTCTGGCCTCCAACGTTGCCTGGTGGATCGTAGTTGCAACTCACAATGTACGCATTCGCACCATTGCATTTCACTCGAGCGCATCCCACTCGCGTCGAGTTCCTCCACACAACCTGAGTGTAGTGCCTGCATTCCTTGCCCGGAGCACAAGTGTTTGATGCGTAATTGTAATCAGCCTTTTCCTTCACCCATTCTTTGACTGCGTCCGTGGCTGGAGGCGCCACCGAGCCATCGCTCCCCCTCCACATATACAAGTTCTCGCCATACGGCCCGCTAGAGTGGACCATTTGACAGCTCGCCTGGAGAGTCGAGGCCCAGTTTTGCGCATACGAGGCAACTTGCGTGCTCCAAACCAGCGGACGAACACTAACAGCAGATCTCGCGGAGTTGTGTGCGTTGACAAGATCACTCTCCGTGCTTGCAAGACCTGCGTGGAGAAATCCAGTGCCATAGATCACAACAACCATTAGAGTTGCACGAAGAACTCCCCCCATAGCGATCAAACTAGAACGCGGATTGCACAACTAAAAAGTATAGGAGCACGAAAACTTACTGTGGGAGACCATCCTCTTATAAAGCAGAGAGTAGGCGTGGGGATCTCCCTTTGGATACGGCAAATACATTTCTTCTTAAAGTTGCTCGCATGTGATTTTCCACGTCGTTATGCTCATTTTTTTCTTTATCAATGACAAGAGATGGGTCAGTGACTTGACTTAACCGGCATGACCTTCCAGAATTCCACAAGATGGTTGCTGGGAACTTAAATAGTTCTATAGATCATCAAGAATAAAGATGACCTACAAATTAACGAATATACCAAGAAAAGTATGCAAGTATATGATTCTCTTCGATTAGGTCATAGGTAGAGAACATGGCGGCAGGGTTTGAGAATTCCGAGGTAAGCAGCGCGCTCCAGGAAGACGAGATCGTCCATCTTAGCGAGGAGCTAGGCTGGCTAGTGATTGGCGAGCAGCCGGAGCTCAAGATCATCGGCGAGGTCGACAAGATCAAGGCCAGGGGAGAAGAAGAAGAAGAAGAGCGATGCTTTACAGCGCTCGTTCATCTCAAAGCTCCCAAAGACGATAGCTTGGCCGCCGCCGATGCTCGCGCCCCGGTCGATCTGGTGACAGTGCTGGACGTGAGCGGCAGCATGCGCGGCCAGAAGCTGGAGCTCGTCAAGACCGCCATGGAGTTTGTGATCCGGAATTTGCGACAGCAGGACCGCCTCGCGATCGTCTCCTTCTCGGACGAGCCCAAAGTCCATCTCGGTCTCAAGAGGATGACCCACGACGGTCGAGAGGCGGCACTCAGTGCAGTGGAGAAGCTGCGGACCCTGGGAGGGACCGAGATCCGTCCGGGGCTAAAGGCTGGATTCGATCTTCTCTCGCGGCGCAGGAACAGGAACCCGGTGTCGAGCATCATGCTTCTCTCGGACGGGATGGACAATGCGATCACGTTCAAGCGATGCAAAGTTCTTCCTGTTGATTCCTACCTCGAGAATGGGATCGAGCGAGTTCCAGTGCACACTTTTGGATTTGGAAGTGACCATGATCCCGAGGCCATGCTCAGCATCGCCGAGGCCACAGGCGGCAGCTTTTGCTACGTGCAAGAGGAGTCCACCGTCCAGCACGCGTTTGCTCAGTGCATTGGCGGGCTGCTTAGCGTGGTGGCACAGGAAGTGGAAGTCTGCATCGAGGCGAGTGGCGGAGCGAAGATCAGGAGTGTGGAAGCCACCGCCGGGACGACGGCCATGGATGGCGATCGAGCTGCGACAGTGAAGCTTGGATCCCTGTATGCGGAAGAGGAGAGAGATATCCTGGTGGGGCTCTTGCTGCCTAGCTCCGACTCGAGCTCTTTGTCGATGGAACTTCTCAAAGTTGAGGGAAGCTTTCAAGACCCTGGGCAGTCGAACAAGACCCAGCAGCTTGCAACTTCGAGCTTGGTGATCCAGGAGCTCAAAGCTGGCGAAGAAGAGGAGGCGACAAAGATCGAGGTGGACAGGCAGAAGAACCGTGTGAGTGCCTCGAAGGCGATGGCTGCCGCTCGTAAGCTGGGGTCTGGCAGCTTGGCGTCGGCAAAGCAAGTGCTGGTGGACGTGAAACAGAAGATTGAGAGCTCCCGAGCGTTTGGAGCTGGCGATGGCTTGTCCAGGAGATTGGTGAGAGAACTCGACGAGCTGATCCAGTGCATGAAGGGGGACTATTACCACTCCGAGGGACATGCTGTGCTGCTTGCCAACGGGAATTCTCACTGCAACCAGCGAGCTTCGTACCAGGCGAAAGGTAAGACATTTTGGATGTCTTTTGTGTTCTAACTCTTGTGAATTTTGTTACTTAAATCAGCACGGAAGCGCCCCGCCTTTTTCGAAGTTGGCAGAGGTGGCAGAGGGGGCAGAGGTGGTGGTGCTAAACCACGGAGCAATGGAGCTCCTTGTGTTGGTGCTAGTGCTAAAAGAATGAGCACTGGTGGCGTTCTTTCAGAAAGCCTGGTACAAGAGACACCCTCAGATGATGAGTCGTACCGAACGTCGGCAATGGTGGATATGCTGGACAAATCCAAGAAATTCAAGAGTAAGAGATAGATCTAGATTTCAAGTTGACAAAGCTCGAACTTGACAAGCATAAGTGTGTTCCGAACTCCAAAGCAAGCGTTTCTGGCCCAACACGATCCAGGTCCAGCCGGTTCCCATCTAATGGTCAGGTCAACGACAAGAAATAGTCAACGGCCCATACCTAAGCGCCGAAAGCACTGGGCCTTCTTATGGAGTTTGCAATGCTATCGTTTTCTGGACTTTTCTCCTCAGTCAAGATGATGGGAGCTCCCATCAATGCTGATTAAACTGGAGGGTTTTCAAAGCTCTACTTCAGAAATCTGGTGTGGACAATCAGCCCATACAATTACCTTTGCTATGTTCCAGAACAAGAAGCCTATTGTCTATCAATCGAAGGAGGACCAGCAAAAACTTGAATCATTGATAGTCTTCTTCAGAGAAACAAATAGACCTTGTTCAATTCAGAGAGGGGAGGTAGCAATTGCGGATGAAACCGACTGTCCTCCTTTCGATTACATATTTATACACATTGTCTAGTTTGTTATGCTAGCAAGAAGCATGTAAGGACTTGCTCTAAGGAGCTTTTGATCCTGTTGTAAGTAGAAGATGTTACTGGCTACTCGTGTCCCACATTCCACATCGTTCTGTAGTCTACAGGCACTCAGCAAACTTCCCCATGAAACGTCATCGGGAGTGAATGGCATGCTGTGAATCAACTCTTCTGCCTCGTGAATCCTTCCCATTCTCGCCAGAATGTCTACCATGCATCGGAAGTTTTCCACTGACGGTCTAAAGTCGTGATCAAAAGCCATGGATCTAAACCACGACAGCGCCTCCTGGAGCATTCCTTCGTGGCTAAACGCAAACAAAATCCCTGTGACTGTCGTCTCCTCGCAGCTGACACCTTCAAGGCACATCCTGAACGATAGCTCCAACGCAGTTTGGATGCAACCTTTTTGAGCGTAAGCAACGATCATAGAATTCCAGGAAACCGTGTTTTTCTCATGCATTTGGTCGAAGATTTCTTCTGCTTCGAAAAGATGGCCATTATGGGCATGCGTTACGATCAGAGCATTCAAGACTGATGTTTCTTGAGAAGCGTTCCAAGGGATTAAATCTCTGGCTTGAGTCACGTTTCCATTCTCTCCACAAGCAATTACCATGCTTGCCCATGACAGATTATTGCTCGCCGGGATTTTCTCGAGCAAAGCTTTTGCGTGATCTAGATATCCAGCAGTGGCTAAAGCTGAAATTGCAGCGTTCCAACACATAAGATCACGCATGGGGCACCTCTCAAAGTAAACTTTCGCTTCTTCCAGCTTCCTCTTGGACACGAGCACACACACCATTGAAGTCCAGCTTATCACTCTCCACCCCGGCATTTTCCAGAATGTCGTTGTGGCCGTGCAAAGATTACCAGAATCCGCGTTTGCTTGAAGTATAGTCGTCCACGAAGCCAAGTTTCTCTGAGGCATGTCGCCAAAAAGCTCGCCAACTTTCTCAGTATTAAGATTCTCGCGGTACATCTGAAGCATGATGTTGTAGCACACAGTGTTCCTGCATGGAATTCTTTCAAAGGTATCGTTCGCCTTTTTATACTGCCCTCCACGGGCATATGCTGATATGAGCGACGTCCAAACCACAACATTCCTCTCCGGAAGCCGCTGGAACATTGACATGAGTTCATCGATCCTTTTCTTCTCACCGTAGAGAAGAAAAAGAGGAACATACGACGCTTGGTTGTGTTGCGGTTGCTTCTCAAGCATCACTTCTGCTTCCTCCAAGCATCCAGCTTGGGCAAATCCACAGACCATCGAGTTCCAAGACACCACATTCCTTTGTGGCATCAAATCAAACGTCTCTCGAGCTCTGGCCATAAACAATCCTTCGTAAGAATACGCGGCCACCATAGCCGACCAGCTTATCGTGTTTCCCTCTGCCATCTTTAAAAAGAAGCTCTCGGAGGCTTGCAAATCTCCGACCTGGGCATATGCAGTGACCATTATTGACCACGACACAAGGTTCCTCTCGCTTGTATTGTCGAAAATATCACGAGCTTGGACGATTTTTCCGTGCTCAGTCAGAACTTTGAGCACCGTGTTTGTGGAGATCACGTCCCAACAAGGCATGGATTCGAAGAAACTCTCGTAGCAACAATCATCGAGCTCTCCAAGTGCGGACAGGACAATGTTCCACGACACCACACTCCGCTGCTCCATGGAATCGAAGAAATGCTTTGCTTGCTCCATGAATCCATTGTGCGTGTAGACCGTGAGCATGGCGTTCCAGGACAAAACGTCCGGACCTTCCATGCTCTCAAAAACCCGGCGAGCTCTTGAAACATCGCCTCTTCTTCCATGGATCCCGATCAACTGGTCGCTCCAAAACTTGTTACTCCTGTTAAATTGCGGCCCTACCTTCTTCAAGATCATGCAAGAAAGAACACCTGGTTTGAATCGACTCAAACTGGATGGAACTTAAAGGCTGGAATCTGTTATGATCGCGAGAACATTTTCGAGAAACCGCTGCAAGCTTTCGTTCTTGGAAGTTGACAGATGTCTTCAAAAACTAGCTCTCGTCGGCCTTAGCCCGAGTGTCTTTTAAGTTCATTCATATACTATTTGAATCTGGAGTTTTGCTTTTGGTGATGATACTGCTCTAGAATGTAAGGTTAGCAAGAAGGATGTAAGGATTTGCTGGAATCTTGAGCGTTTGACCATGTTGTAAGTAGAAGATGTTACTGACTACTCGTTCCCACACTCCACAACGTTCTGTAGTCACATGAAACGTCGTCGGGAGTGAAAGGCATGCTGTCAACTCTTCTGCCTCGCAACCCCGTCTACTCCATAAGAATCATGATCAAGCCATGGTCTTCACAGCAACGGGGCTGGACACCGTGTGTCGCCCATCCGTCCAAGTTATGGATCCAAACTGCCAGCTTTCGCTGCCGGAGCTGCTCGAAACAGTGACAGTGAAGGCCAGCGTTGCTCCTGGCGAGAATGTGAGCGTCGTTGGCTCCACTCTCACGCTCAGCGTCGATGGTATCTTGACTGTTACTTTGTAAGTCGAGGAGGACGAAGAAGAATCCACGCTCGTCAGGTACCTGGTAGCGGTCTGTGTGCCGCTCAATCTCGGGAAGGCGATGGAAGGATAGTTGAGGTTGGAATTCTTCATGGAGCAACTCGTGTTCTTCTTTCCTGCGATCATCCTGACTTTGCTCTCACTGTAGCCAGTGGCACAGAGATAAGCGACGTAGTCGGAGGGTGTTGCGTCGTAGACCAGTCCTGGACTTAGAGATCTCAAGGGATCGATCTGGCCGGAGCCGTAAGCAAATGGATTGCTCAGGCTTCCATCATAGTCGAGTATGCCGTCGTTTTGAGTTGTCGCTGGAGACTCAAAGGCTTGTATGAGACTGGGGAAGAGAAAAGGTGGTAGAGAGTTACCTGTGGTCATGATCGCAGATCTTAGAGCCGCGGGACTCCAAGAAGGATATGCAGACTTTAGCATGGCCAAGGCTCCCGCGACGTGAGGACACGCCATGGAGGTTCCGGAGGCGAAGTTATACTTCACAAAAACGGGCTTGTTCGTGTCGTAGTTCTCATAGTACGCTGGAACGATATCCGGCCAGGCCGCAAGGATGTTTACTCCTGGAGCAGTAATATCAGGCTGCAACAAAGACCAATGATCTTGATAACGAATTGATAGGTGGTACCTTGATTATATCTTCGCTGATGGAGTTTGGACCTCTTGAAGAGAATCCGGCAACTACTGGAGCTGGACTGGAAGTCTCTGCCACTGTCGGTGTCAGTGTAGCGACTGGTGAGGTGGTGCTGTTCATGTAGGATAGCAGCTCGACTCCCACGGCTGTTTTCACGATGGTCGTAGGCAAGGGGAAGTAGCTAGCGAGATCTGCGTGGAAGTCGTTTATGAGGATGGCACCAGCGGCCTTGTTCTTCTGCAACCATGTCACGATTGTTTTCGTGGAAACATAGTCGGGATCGAACTCGCAGACGACGATCTTGTTCTCTACTCGCTTGGGATTTAGACTGTCTGGATCACAGGTGCTGCAAAGTAAGCTATGAGCCACTATTGAAGAACAAAAAAGAGAGTGTTTGAAGCACTTTCACCTGGCTGCTGAGGCATGGATAGATTCATTAGCAGGAATGGAAGAGCCAAGCACGAGGCTGTAAGGTGGTTCTTTCTGAGCTTGAAAGCTCAAGGCCGTTCCCTGCGAAGTGAAGTAGTAGAAAGGTGATGAGAAAGAAAAGCCAACTTTTTGCTCACTCGTAGAGTCTTTCCATCTCCAAGATAGACGTCGGACGCAATGGACCTGTCAATGGTGCTTGCTCCGACCGTGAAAATCCAAGGGGCCGAGTTGTAGACGGACGATTCGTCGGGACCCGAATTCCCAGCGGAGCAAACCACAGTGATGTTGTGCTGGATGGCATGGAAGGCTCCAATCGCGATGCCATCCTCGTCGTAGCTCTCCGGCGAGGTACCAAGCGAAAGAGATAATATATCCACCCCGTCGTCCATAGCGTCATCAAAGGCCTTGAGGACGTCTGCGATGGGACAGCCATCGATCCCACACACTTTGTACACTGCGAGCCTGGCCGATGGAAGCCCACCCCTGGCTGTTCCACTGCCAACACCCTTCATGCTCGCGTTGGAGACGACACTGCCAGCCGCGGTGGATGCAGCGTGTGATCCGTGGCCTATTTCATCTCTTGCGCTCTCCGCGTTGTAGAAACGAGCTCCGATGATCTTGCTGCTCCATAAATAATTCGTTTTCTTTCGTCTTTAGAACGGTACTATCGTGAAACTTACTTGTTGCATTTCACGGGATTCACACCAGCGTTGTTGCAGAATCCTTTCCATCGGCTGGGAGGAGATGACATTCCATCATCGCTGAAACTTGCAGACTCTGGCCATATACCTTCAGGAAAGAGAGAGTAACTTGATATATATATATATCACTTTTGTCAACTCTTGAACCTATGTACCTGTGTCCATCACGCCAACGATGACATCGGCTCCCTCTCCAAGTCTGCGTCTCGAGTATGAGCGACCCGTCGAAAACGTTTCCAGGAATTCCCAGGACCGCGTTGTATGCAGCTGCAGAGTTTTGCTCGGGAACACACTGACCACGTCCCGCATTCCTGCAATAGCTTTTGCCTGCTTCGGGGTCATCCTGGCAGCAAATCCATCAAATCCATGCTTGTAGCTGTAGACGATCTCAGGGGACTCGACTTCACTGTCGTGTGAGTTTTAAAGTCAGTACGGGCTATACTTTGGAGCACGATCACTTCTTGCCTGCTCGTGACAGAATCGAGAATCTTGCCGTGTCTGTGGACCAGCTGCAAACTGTGGCGACTGCCTTTTCCACCGAGGTACACGATATAAATCTGCAAAAACAGAACCAAGTAGTAAATATATGTAGAAAGATGGCCGTGAAGTACCTGACGCTCGTCCTCGATGCCTGCTGCCTTGTTCCACGAGAGGATGCTTAGAACTATGAAAAAAAGACCAGTGATGGACATTCCGCTTTCCAAGTTCGGATTTTGATCCACGTTATATAGTGACCTCTAAGAGCACTGGAGAATGAACAAGACGAAGACGCTACGGTGGGGTCGCACTTAGTCCAGTCTCGTTAGAACTGGTGGTCCACTGACGAGAAGAAATACGATTTCTTCCGTGGTGCTTGTCCCACTGATTCTCGCAGAAAACTCGGCAGTCGATTGATCTTCTCCGCATTAGAATACACTTGTCGAGCAGCCACGTTGCTTCTTGCCTTCATCACAGCTGCGCAAATGCACATCAGCGATGTGTGTGCCACAGTATGATACCACTCTCCAGCACGCAAAAATTTCTCCTTCCGTTGCGGCTGCGCATCCAATCCATCTCCATCCATGAATTTCTTGCTCGCTCCACTTCAAGATGATGCTTCCTCCCATCGTATTCTCCATAATCCAGCAGTGTCTTAAGCGGTCGCGTACTGTTAAGAAGCATGTAATTACAGAGAGCGTTCGTCCAAAATCCCCTCCACGGGCATTTGCTGATATGAGCAATGTCCATTACCACAACATTCCTCTCCACAAGCCGCTGGAACATTGACATAAGATAATCGATCGTTTGCTTCTCGCTGTAAAGAAGCATTAGAAGAAAATACGAAGCTTGTTTGTGTTGTGGTTTCTTCTCAAGCACCACTGTTGCCTCCTCCAAGCACCCAGCTTGGGCAACTGCACAAATCATCGAATTCCAACATTCCTTTGTGGCATCAAATCAAACGTCTCTCAAGCTCGGGCCACAAAAAATCCTTCGAGAGAAGAACGCGGCCACCTTAGTGATTTTTGAATGCAACGTTTGCAAATCCCCGATCTGGGCATATGCAGTGATCATCACCTTTGAGCACTGTGTTTGTAAAGATCTCGTCCCAGAAAGGCATGGATATGAAGAAGCTCCATATCAGCATATCGTGGTTTTTCTCATAGAACAGCGGCATCACGGTTTTGGAGCTCGCTCAAGAACATTTTCGAGAAAAAATGCTGGAAGATAGAAGCGATTGAAGAAGAGTGATGCCCCGGCGCGCGCTTCTCCCTTTCTTTCAAGCCTGGAAAAGATCGGGACTCTAGAGAAGTAAACAAGCTCTAGGCGAAGTACCTCTGGAGGGTTTCGTTCCATGGGATCGATCGGAGCTCGCTGAGGAGGCTCGAGCTTCACCACTTCAAGGATCTTCCCGTCGTTCCACTTGAGCGCCTTGAGATCGGCTTTGGCATTGATGGGAGCTCCCGCGATCTCGACAGAACCCACTGTGGAGCGCATCATGCTCATCATCCTCGTGTTGTCCAGGGCTTCGAGCATCTGGCCCTGGAATCGTGCAAAGAACAAAAGCTCCTTAGCCGATCGCGATCGAGGAGGAGGAAAACGATTCCCACCTTGTTCCGGAAGATGAGCTTGCTGCGAACTCCATGCAGCCTCAGGACCTTCAAGATGACAAGAATGGAGAAGAGCAGTGATCCATTTGCATGATTCTTTGCTCGATCGAGCGCCATACCTCCTCCAGATGCTTGATGAGGATGGCTTTGGTGTTGCGCTCTTCCATGGGCAGCTGGAATTGCTGGAAAAGCCAAGTGTACTCCTCGGTGCTCATACCCAAAAGCGCCATTCCTCTCTCTCTCTCTCTTTCTCTCTATACTCTTTGACCTAATATATAACTGATAGATGGAAGGGTTTAAAGTAATAAAGTGTATAGCTTTTTCTTGATTAATTAAGCTGACTCAGCCCTAGGGCCCCTGTTTAGGGTTTGTGGCCATGGCGCCCGAAGCTGGCAAGCGGGGGAGGGAGGCCATGGCGGATCGCGGCAGCCCTAGCGCATCCTCCAGGAAGCGCATTCGCAGCAGGAGCCCCCCGGGCGGTAGAGACGAGCATCATCGCGGCCACAGCGCCAGGTACGACGGATCGCGGGAGAGGGATAGGGAGCGGGAGCGGGATCGCGAGAGGAAGCGCAGCAGGAGCGAGAGCGCGGAGAGGAAGCGCGGCGTGGAGAAGCGCCAGAGCCCTAGCTGTGATGCCGCTGCCAAATCCAGGCGGAATGAGAGGCAGCAGCAGCAGCAGCACCGGGGTCGGCACCGCAGCCGGAGCTTGAGTAGAGAGAGGAGAAGTAGGAGGAGCCAAAGCCGTGATCGTCTCAAGGCTGGGAATGCCAGGAGCAGGAGTAGGAGTGTGGATCGAGATAGAAAGGATAGAAAGGAGGTGCTAAACAGCGAGAAGTCGGATGAGCTAGCCAGTGAAGCCCAGGAAATTCATGGTGAACTTGGGGAGAGTGGAGACGATGAAAACGATCAGGCTTCTGCTGGCACGACTGCCACGACTACTCAGGAAGAATCCAAGCGGGCAGAGGTAAAGTTGCTTCTCGCTTTTCCGCTTGCTTTGCGTGCTTAGCAGACTTGCGTTTGTTCGTTCCAGCCGATTTCCTTGGAGGATATGTTGAAGAAGCGCAAGGAGGATGCTCTCCAACAGTCTAAGGTGAATGCTCGTTCGACTGTGCTTTTTCCCTTTGCTCAGCATGGGTTTTGCATTTTTCGTGGCTAGTGTTAATGTAACTTTACATGTTTGGCAGCCGTTATTTCTCACTAAAGAGCAAAGGCAGGAACTTGCTCTTAAAAAACGTGAAGAAGAAGCCTCCGAACATAAGCGGAGGTAGCCAGAGTTGCGGTTTAGCTTGATATGACTCTCTGTTATATTTTGCAGGGTCGAAGAGCAGCGGAAATTGTATACAACACAGAAATCTCAAGAAGGTAACTTTCTTCTTTTTCGAAAGGTGATTCCGTTCTTACGTATTTTTTTCTTCAGAAATTCGCCAGCGAGATCTTGAACGTGAAAGAGACCGCGAGCGCCGAGAGCAACGGGAAGAGGAAGCAAAAGTTAGGGAGCGTGAACGCGTCGAGAAACAGGCTAACAGAGAACGAGAGAAAGAGATGGATGCAATCAAAGAACAGGTAATATTTCTAGTAGTTTTATTTCCCATCCCTTCTAACGTCGTTTTTGACCAGTATCTTGGAACAAAAAAGCTAAAGAAACGTGTTGTGAAGCCAAGCGAAAAGTTCAGATTCTCATTCGATTGGGAAAATACAGAAGATACTTCAAGAGACATGAACCCGATGTACGTACAGAAAGTTGCCGTTCTAGTTTGAGGTCTGATACTTCTTTTCTTCTTTCAGATATCAAAATCCTCACGAAGCACAGTTGCTTTTTGGCCGAGGATTTCGTGCCGGCATGGATCGAAGGGAGCAAAAGAAGGTCGGATATATGTCAAACATTTTTGTGACTGATCTTTCTTGTGTAGCTTGCTGCAAAGAATGAGAAGGACCTGCGAGCTGAAATACGGGTACGCGTTTTCATACTGCTTCAAGCGAATCTAATATGAAAAATTATGATAGGCAACCAAGGGACTTGAAGAAAAGCCGGAGGAAGCAAAGGCTCAGAAACTCAAGGAAGAGGCTGCGAATGCATACGATGCATTTGATATGCGTGTAGATCGGCATTGGTCAGAGAAGAAGGTGATGAAACTTAACAGAATCTTTTACTTTACTGAGATGAGCTTGTGTCCTTGGCTTGACCAGCTCGAGGATATGACTGAGAGAGATTGGCGTATTTTCCGAGAGGATTTCAACATCTCATACAAGGTGAAAAACTGTGATCCGTGCGCCTATTGCGTAAACTGTTCATTCTTCTCACAGGAATGTCGTTGTAGGGATCCCGCATCCCGCGGCCTATGCGGAACTGGGAAGAAGGTGGCCTTAGTACTGAGCTATTGAAGGCTGTTAACAAGGCTGGGTACAAGAATCCGTCTCCCATCCAAATGGCTGCAATTCCACTCGGTCTTCAACAAAGAGATGTCATTGGTATTGCGGAAACGGGTACGAAAGCGGATCAGAGAGCTGCTTTTCTCGTTTCTACAGTTTATTTTGTTCTGCTGCATGTAGGATCCGGCAAAACAGCTGCGTTTGTGCTACCAATGCTCACGTACATATCAAGGCTTCCTCCCATGACTGAAGAGAACGAAGCCGAAGGTACTATGCTCTATATAATTTCTGTATCCTTAACAGTGTTTCTTAGGACCTTATGCGGTTGTCATGGCTCCTACGAGGGAGCTTGCGCAGCAAATTGAAGAAGAAACTGTGAAATTTGCACATTATTTGGTACGATTTTGCTGTCTTTTTATATATTTTTCCAGTTGCGCTGTTTATCAGGATATACATGTGGTGTCAATTGTTGGAGGACAATCAATAGAGGAGCAAGGTTTTAAACTTCGCCAGGTTTCTCATTTTTATATAGTGCTGCATTTTACCAAGATTTTCTTTTCTTTCAGGGTTGCGAGATCGTGATTGCTACGCCTGGAAGGCTTTTGGATTGCCTTGAACGCAGGTAGAACGACACTCCTTCCTGTAACTTTGAAACGATTGTGTGTGTGTGTGTGTGTGTCTGTCTGTCTGTCTGTGTAGATATGCGGTTCTCAATCAGTGCAACTACGTGGTACTAGATGAAGCGGACCGCATGATCGATATGGGGTTTGAGCCGCAGGTACATGTTCTCATTCTTATGTGAATTGAGAATTAATTCAAGAAATGCAGGTGGTCGGTGTTCTTGATGCTATGCCGTCTAGTAATCTCAAACCCGAGAACGAGGACGCGGTATGAAAGTATGAGCGTCTCATAAACGTCGTACTAAGTTGTTTTGATCTCTTGTAGGAACTGGATGAGAAAAAGATTTACAGAACTACTTACATGTTTAGTGCAACGATGCCGCCTGCCGTGGAAAGGCTTGCACGGAAGTACTTACGTAATCCGGTCGTAGTTACAATTGGAACTGCTGGAAAAACAACGGATCTCATCACGCAGAATGTTCTCATGGTCAAGGATTCTGAGAAGCTCGACAGGTCTGTACATATGCCTTTTATTGGAGCTCACCTCTTTTTTTCATTGCAGATTACAGCGCATGTTGAATGATCTTGCGGACAAGACGGCCATCGTGTTTGTCAACACCAAGAAAGCTGCCGACGGTCTAGCAAGGCAACTCGATAAGCTGGGCTACCGAGTGACGACCTTGCACGGTGGGAAAACTCAAGAACAGCGTGAGGTCCAAAGGCTCCTCTTTCTTTTTGGTTCTTTTTGTTACGTAGTCCGTGTTTTTAACAGATCAGCCTAGAAGGATTTCGTAGCAAACGCTACAACTGCCTCGTTGCCACCGACGTCGCTGGTCGTGGAATCGATATCCCGGTTGGTTTCTTATTCTACTTCTCTTGGAATCAAAACAACTCACGTCGAGTTTGCAGGACGTAGCCCATGTCATTAACTTTGATATGCCGAATAACATCGAGATGTATACGCACAGGATCGGTAAGTTTAGTTTTTTGTTTTTCCCCGCGGTTTCTGAGAGCTAAACATTTTTTCCAGGTCGTACTGGTCGCGCGGGCAAGACTGGCGTGGCCACGACGTTCTTAACTTTGGGAGATACCGAAGTGTTTTACGATCTAAAGCAGGTAACGCTCTGATAGTCTCGTGTGCTTGTGGCTGATTTAGAGAGGTTTCCTTTTCACGCAGATGCTTGTGCAGAGCAACAGTCCTGTTCCTCCAGAGCTGTCGAGACACGAGGCCTCCAAATTCAAGCCTGGTAAAGCCCATAGCTTTCTTCGCTCTACTTTTATACTAACGCTTGATTCGTGCACAGGAACTATACCCGACCGGCCACTACGGAGGAACGAAACCTTGTATGCTCATTAACACGAGCCTTGTACATAGTTTTCCGGTTTTTTTTCTCTCTTTTGTTGGTAAGCTCTACACATTTGAGGCGAAAAATAAGTAGAGCCGAAACTTAGCTAAGAACTTACAAAAACGAAACACTTTTTTCTCTCAAACTTACAGATGATCTCTATGTGCCGTGCAAAACTGGAACGTTGTTTCTCTCTTCTGTACACGATGGTGGCCCTGTACACGGTCGTATTCACAATCCTCGAGCCAGGTACCTTTTTCTTCTTTCCTGTTGGTCGAAGTGTTAGAATCTGAAGAGCGGCTTGTCCTTCTCTTTGGATATCTTGGCTTCCTCTTCGGCTTTGATCTCCTCTAGTTCGAGCCTCAACCTCTCCAGTTCCAGCTCCTTCAACCGGACGTGGCCATCCAAGTCCGGGCAGTGGTGCTGTGGTGCTCGAGGCGGATGGATCGGTATCATCCCGGAGAAGTCCTTGCCCGAGTAGAAACTGGGCCTCTGGACGTAGTCACCACCCTCGCGCTTGGTACTGTAAGCCTCCTGCAGCGCCTCCACCAAGATCTTGGTCTCCATTCCCTGCTCGGACTTCCCCAGCACGTTTAGATCCGACGCCGTGTCCGTGGACTTGCGGTTTGGATCCAGGCACGCATTGCCGATGTAGCGAATGAACTTCTCCACGCGTGCTATCTCCGCCTTGACGAGGATGGACGCCTCCACAAACGGGCGGATAGTCTCGTTGTAGCTCTTCACCGCCGCCACCTTTGCCTTGTGTTCCAGCAGAGCCTCCTGGAAAGCCTCCGAGTTCTTGGCATTCACCTCCAGCGAGAGCATCTCGTGTTCTTCTTTCGCCCGTGTTACATCCATCTCGTAGTCGACCTCCGCCTGTGCGCAGGCCGCCTTCCACTGGATCTTCTTCACCCTCGTCACCTCCTCGTTTTGAGCTTCCACCTCCGCCTTTTTCTTGAGCATTGCTGCTATCTGACTGGCTCGCCTCATGTTCTGCTCGTGAACGAACTTGGATTGCCGCTCGTACTCCTCCACTGCGGCCTTTGCAATCGCCATGTTCTCGGCAGCCACTGCCTCGCACGCCAGCTTCCAGTTCGCCCTTGCGCGCTCCTCGGTCTCCTGGTTGAGCTTGGCAAACTTCTTGGACTGTGCCTCGTGCTCCGCCATGGCTGCTGCGAGCTCTGCTTTGTAAGTCGACAGCGTCTTCTCCTTGTTCTCTTTGAGGTCTTGGATCTTCTGTTTGAGAGCCGCTACTCGTCGAGCGTTTTCCAGCTTTACTTTGTCGTAGGTGCTCTGGAATGCGTCCTCCGACTCCTTTTTGATGCGCGCGTTTTCCGACTCGATGTACGCCACCCTCGCTGCGTGATCCGCGTGAGCTTTCTCTGTTGTTTCTTTGTTCGTCTGAGTGATCTCGGCCACCATTTTTGCGTGGTTCTCCTGGTTGATCCTGTTCCTGGTCGCGACTGTCTCTTCCATCTCCTTTTGTTGCCTCTCGGTCTCCTTGACTTTAAACTCGAATGCTGTTTTCTTCTTGAGACAATCGGCCTCGTACTCTTCCATTGCTCGCTTCAGACTGAGCGCGTTCATTTCCTCCACCCATTTCACGTCCTTCTCGTACTGCTTTTTGGCCTCGGCTGCCAGCCTTGCGTTCTCTTCGTCAATGTGCTTCACCTGGCGCTTCCATTTCTCGATTTCTTCTACAGCGCGTTGATTCAGCTGCTCGACACGCCGGCACTCCTCCAACCACTTCTCCCTGGCAAAGTCGTGCAGCACCATGTTCCTTGCAATGATATCTTTGCAGCCGTCCTCGTACTTCCTCTTTGCAGCCGCTAGCAATGCTTCGTTCTCTTCGTCAATTGACTTTATAAGCGCCTCGTAGTCTTCCTCCATTTTCTTCTGATTCTTCTGATAAGCTGCTAGCCGAGGTGCGTTTCTTTCCTTGTCGTAACGTAGCCTCACTTTCTCCTCAAGGTCGTGTATCGTCTCAACTATACCACGAACGATGTTCCTCCGTTGCTCGCCTTCTATGATGGATTTAGCCCACAGCATGTCTTCCAGAGCCACCCCTGACACTGGCGGCGGTTTTGTTGCCCAATTCCGGTCGACATGTCTTACAACGCCTCCAGTTAGCTCGGAGATCCTCTGCAGGAAACGTTCTCCATACTTCGTCGTTCCCAATCCAACTGTGTACAGGGGGGTGACAGCGCCTTGCATCTTTAGAAGCTTCTTGATTTGTTGCATCACCTGAGACAATGACAATAGTTAATGTCAAATAAACTTCTAAAGCAACAAAAGAGAAACCATACCAGAACAGGCTTGTCTGGCTTTCCATCAGTGAGAAGATATATGCAATCACAAAAGCTCCGACTAAAAGAAACATCGAGAGCCTTCAGCAGATTCGTTGGGCCTCCTGCTCCCCAACGCAATGCCCAGTTCAGCGCCTCCTCAAGGCTGGCAGGCGTTTTCTCTATCATTGCCTGCCTGAATGTTCCCTTGCGTTTAGCAGAATGACAGAAAAATACCATTTCTCACCTCTTGAGGACTCCAGAACCGGGGTGACGCAGTGTTTCTGGTGTTTTGTTTGTACAGCCTGTAGTTCTCCATGGAAGCGTAACTCCAGGCATCAAACGAGTACATGATAATGTCGAAATGAGTTGCTGCTATGGCAACCTGCAAAACATCAGCAAACTCAGTAACTAACTTGATCAAAAGCCAATGTGTGACATACTCACCTGGCCCCCGGGAGAAAAAACCGCAGCCAGGATGTCATGAGCCATTTTCATACCTCCTTTAGCCATGGTTCCACTGGCGTCTATAAGGAATATAGGCCTCTGTCCAGCAAGATATCCTATAGGATCCGGAGCTGGAGGTGGCTTCCATGGAGGCAACACGAGCGGAGGTGGTGGAACGTAAGCTGGCCTTACTTTCAATGCGGGAGGATGGAATTCTGGAAGTGGCTCGCCTACAGGTGGTAGGAAAACGGGTTCGGGTTTCAACACTAGAGGCAGAGGATAAGGTGACTCTGGATAAGGAAGGAGAGCTCTCGGCTTGGCTTGACAAGGCTTGCCTTTCCTAGCATACATGTCGACATTTGGCATGCACTTCCCCTCGCAACAACAGGGACCAAAGCTCTCGTCGACAGCATAGTAGGCTTTTTCACAAGGCCGAGGTTCAGGAATCGGAGCAACAAATGGCGGAAGGGCCTCCATAATTGGCATCGGTAAAACTGGAACCTTCATAGGAATTGGAGCACTCGGGAAGTCGAGAAGTTTTGGTTCCACCCATTGAGGCAAAGGAAGTTTCTCAGGGGCATAGTAAGTTGGCAGAGGATCTTCCTTGTATAAGGTTCTGTCGATGCTGTTTTCATCTTCCAGAAAGATTGGCTGAGGCGGAATTTTCAAAGGTGAGACGCGGAGAGGGGGTGGCAAATCAAGCGCAGGAAGTTCTTTGGGAACAGGGGCTTCAAAGACCGGGAGCTCAAGGGTAGGACCAATCCCCTCGGATTCTTCGGTTGGAATGGAAAGAAGGCCGTCTATGGGATACAGCTGTGGCAAAGGCTTCATTTCTGGAGGCTCAAACTCGGGTAGGATTTGTTGCTCTGGCGGACTGAAAATAGGCAGATCCTGTAAAAATGAAAAGCATTGAACCACGAGTAACAAAGAGTTGTTTACGTACCTTGTAATGCGTGTTGACAATCTTGCTTCTGAGGTGTGTCAGCAGCTTCCGTAGCTCTTGAACCAAGTAGCTCAAGGGAACGCTGTAAGAACCATGAACTTGTCGGCCATCGGGGAAAAGGAAGTGACCAAAAGCATTCTCACAATACTTTGCGTGGATGTGCTTATCAACCTGTGACATAAAGCAAGCACTGAACCATATGTAAAGCAAGCCAGAAAAAAAAACAACGAGCGAACCTGCGACACATCCGCATGCGAATGGTCAAAATAAACCCATTTTGCCAGCAGCACGTCCATCAAGGTTTCAGGAATTTTCTTCTGCCTACTTTTGCGTGTCTGCATCACATGCTGTCGATCAGCCCGCTGTATAGATAACATAAAAGAACAAGAGAAAAGAAACGTACCTTTGGAGCATCATCCTCAAGAACTTTATCATCCTCGTCAGGATAGACCCTGGTGTCAGGCTTCTGTGGCTTACGTCCTGGCTTTCCTTTTCCCTTGGGCTTTAGCTTCTTCTCGAGCTTGTGATCAAGCAGTGCTTCCTGTCCCTTGCAACACGACCCGGGGCCTTGACGGCCCCAGAGTGCTTGCACCAATTCCTGTGGAAGCTCTCCCTTCCTGGCCATTCCCATCTTAACCTCCGAGGCAACGTCACGCATTTGCACCGACAGCCAACTCCAGCCTTTGTCCGACTTCGTGAGAAAACGCATGCGTTTCGCCTTTGAAACCTTGGAGTGATGGTGGTGCTGTGGGCTCTTGGGCAACGGAGACGCTTGAGCTTCGTGTGATCTTGCCCGTGAGCCACCACGCTGGAGCTCTCCTCTTGCACGGGCATATCCATACTTTGGCTGCTTGATGTTCTCCATGCTCGTTCGAGTTGGACAGCCATTGCGCCCGAGTGAAGCACTGTTGGTCATCCTACATACGTCCTAACAGGGATTTCTTCATCGTCCTGTCAAGAACACAACAAGGAAACTTGCATAAGCATATGATACAGAGAAAGAAGCAAGGGTTCCAAATCTCTCTCACCTGACATGCTGGACAATGCTCCATGCCATTCCCTACGCCGCATTGTGGATTCCCTCTCATCCTAGACAACAATCCCTCACTGGCGCTGCAAGAGGGAGACCAGATCAAGACATCGCTCCAGGGTTTCGCAGCGATCTTACCTCAGCGCGCGCTGCAGATTATCGCACCCTAAACTCGTCCCCATCACCGACATCGCGCCCGCACAGCCAGGCGCTATCCATTCCCTCGATCATCAAAACCCTAAAACCCTCTTCCCTCTCTCTCGCACGCTACCACCCTTCCCAGACCTAAAATTCAAAAAAGAACCTTCATTAGCATATACCAGTGGATAAAGTAAATTTAACGGATGACGTGGGGCACTAATTAAATGGTGGCGTGGCATTTAGCGGGTGACGTGGCATTAGTATATACTATAGTGACGTGGCACTTGAAGATAAAATTTAAGAGTTCCACTCCGAGGAAGATCTCGCCAATCCATAACAGTGCCACCACGAGAGCTGTGAATACGACGAGAGCGATTCTCCCATCAAAGTCAAGCTTTTCTTTACCGTGACTTCCAAGTCGATGGGTTCCTCCTGTCAGATCGTGTCCCCGAGCGAGGAGGCCTCTGTCATCAATAACGCGATCACGACGCCTTCTCGGCCTCGGGCTCCTCAACCAGCGCCTTGAAAATGCCCAGCTTCTCCACCTGTAGGAGCGCCTTCTCCACATCCCCAAGCCTCACCGTCTGGGAGATGACCGAGTCCCAAGGCAGATCGACGTGCTTGGCCATGAGCTGGACTCCCTTGTAAAAGTGGCTAAAGTCCGACCCCCAGCACCCTTTCACCGTGAGATGCTTCCTGTTGATGAGGTGATGGGGATTGACGACAGCGTCTCCGTTGTTCGTGTACTGCCCCACCACAACGTAAGTCCCACCGTCTCGGCAGAAGCTCATCCCCTCGGGAATGGCCTCGGGCCGTCCGGTCACTTCAATCACCACGTCCGCCATTCGGCCGTTTGTCAAATCCCGCACTATAGCCACTCTCTCACTTGGTGCCGCTTTCTGGAGGAGACAGGAAAATCATTAATCACAGATGTTGTTTTCTGTGGTTACTTTTCTCACCTCGATGTTTACTGTAGAGTCAATCCCGAATCTCTTCACTACTTCCAAGCGATGTTCCGGAGCCCCCGTCACGATCACCTGTGATGCCATCGGGATTTTTATGATGGGCTCGACATGGAAGGTGGAGCTTGAAAGTACCTGGAGTGCTCCACTCAGACGTGCCAGGAGAGCTGCCAGCAAGCCAACAGGGCCGGATCCTTGGACTAGAACACGGTCCATGAGCTTGATACCAGCTCGCTCGATCGCATGCAAAGCAGTCGGCAGCCTATCCAGCAGCACATCGACGAGTCAAAAGTTACAGCGGAAAGCACAAAAACGTACCCGCATCCTCCAGCCATGAAGACCCGAGGAGGAAGAACTTCTGGCAAACGTATGATTTTGGTATTGGGAGGAAGATAAATGTGAGAAGACCAGCCACCTAACAGGCCTTTTACGTCGCGAGGATCCGCACGGCAAGTGATTCCCAGGACACGTCTTTTCGGACAGCGAGTGGATTCTTTGTCCACCTGGAAGAGCAATAGAACAGCGAGAACCAAAAAAATACGAATGGGGATACAAACAAAAAGAAAAGAAAAAATGTACCAGGCATGAAACGCAAGAATTGCAAGTGTCGATCACGTCCAAGTAAGTGACCACTGCTCCCTCTTCTATCTGATAGCCCAAAAGATTAGCAAAAATCATCGCAAATAACAAGAATGCGGGTGAAACATCCGTGGTTACCTGCATTCCATCCACGTCCCTGACCGAGCCAACCATGGCCACGACTCGCCCCACAGCAACATGCCCGGGGATGATCGGATAGGGCACGGTATCAAGGCGGCGATGCTTGAGATGAACGTCAGTGCCACATACCTCGGCCGCGATCATCCGCAGCAGCACCGAGCCGGATTCCATGTCGCCGCTGCTGATCCTGGAGCGCTCCAGCGCCAGGGCGCCATCGCCGTGGAGCAAGATGCACGTGTTCTCGAGAATCATTTCAATAAACCCTAAAATATTTGTGGATATTCGGGGTTTTAGCAGCGCATCTTTTTGAAAGGGGCTTTTAGGGCAAGTTGCCGCCAAATCTATCGGCACCGACAAGTGCTCCACATTTGTCAAGCAGTGCGTGTAAATTTATATGGTTTGTGGCACCATCACCTAGGAGGCTTGTACGGCGGCGAGCGAATATCCACCTCTTCCTCTCTCGGTCAGATGGGACATTTTCCGTCCTAGACGAAGCTCTCGCTCTTTCTTTCTCTCCCCCTCACCGCGCTAGGTTTTCGAGAAAGAAAGAATTGATCGACGACGCGGCGCGCGATCGATCGCGCCGGTATGTCCATGGCATTCCATGCGTCGAGGCGCCGCGGCCAGCGCTAGCATCGCCGCTTGCAAGATCAAGATCGAGCAATGGTAGGTTATCCAGGGAGAATGTGAGTGGATTCCAGCTCCTAAGATGTTGATTTGTGTGGAATCGTCATCGTTTCGCTGCTAGGATCTTCGTCGAGGACGATATTTCGCCGTGTAGAACATGGATAGATGGATTCTAACAAGGAGGACCACAACTATACCGGGAATCACTGGACCAGCAGCTACGCAGCAGCTCTAGTGAATTCATCCACCTCCAGCGATTATGGATCCGCGGTGGCGGTGAGTAGTAGTCTTCCCGAAGCGGTGGATTCCTTGCAGAATTTCGATGCTAGACTGCTCCAGCAAATCAAGGCGCAGCATGCAGTAGAGTCCGGGCTACTCCAGCCTTGGCAGCTCCAAAGCATTAGGCCTCAAACTCGCTACGATCACCACCAGCACTACTACTTCCAGCTCGGTGGCAAGAGTTTGCAACCTCCAGTGAATCATCCAGCGGCTTCCCAGGCTCAACCGTTTGGATTTCCATTCCTTGAGACGCAGTTCCATGAGAACGAAACTACGTCATCATCGATGCCAGCTCTGGGCGATGGAGGTGCTACCTCTTCAAGGCAAAGCTTGTATAGCTCACAGGGACGTGCAGCTCATGGAGCTCGAGGAGATCACCACGATCAAAACGCTCAAAGAGTTTCTTCCAGCTTCAAACAGATGAAGCCTCGATCCTACACGAAGGTAAGTGCAAATATCTTTCAAATTTCGTGGCTATGACGGGCTTGGGAGTTGCTTATGGATCGATTCATGATCCTAGGTATTGAAGCTGGGTTCCATTGGAAGGTCACTAAACATCGCAAGGTTTAACAGCTACGCAGAGCTGCGAAGCGAGCTAGCCAGGATGTTTGGTCTCGAGGGTCAGCTGGATCAAAGCTCACACTGGCAGCTAGTTTACATGGACAATGACGGTGACATCCTTCTTGTAGGGGACGATCGCTGGGAGTAAGTTCTATAATCAGTTTCCAGAATTCTCACCCAAGCACTTTCCTTCAGGGAATTCGTGAGCTCTGTCCGTGGCATTAGAATCATCTCGCCATCCGAGGTTGCGATTTACACCAGCGAAGAGTACGCTGGAACACCGCTGTCGACTTGTCTAACTAAAACCCTCAACATGCCCTAAAATCATAATTAAGAATATTCATCACTTCTTATCTATAAATTATCAGAGGGCACGGTGGCACTAGATTGTCATTAAAGCCCTTGTTGAGGAGTTTAGTAGGCTATGCAAAAATGTATCACCTGCTATGCTATCAGTTAGAACATAGTAACATTTGCTTCAAGCAACATGTTAGATGGCCTTAGACTGAATGCAATAGTGACACAAACCACAAGAATATTCTAAGAACATTTTATGGCCTATAGGGTTGGGAGGTTGGCTTAGCCTTGTTTGTTTCATTGGCATTAAAGTAGTGTGTTCTTTTGGGGACTTTTATTGATGTCATTGTGTAACAAGGTCATTAAAGTTCAAAGTAACATTAAAGAGGTTAAGGATTCCATCAAATTAAAGATTATTTATTTTACATAAACCTTTCAGGGTTAAATCAATGTCATATATGTGATTATCATTGGTACGTTAAGCATGTTGAGGATTGTGGTATTATGGAATGAAAGTCATCACTAAATGTTTGTGATAGTTAAGAGGTTATTTCTTGGTTGGTGAAAGTTAATTGGTCTCATAGCCCTTTTGAAGATAAGATGAAAATTGCTTTTTTTATGATGAAATTTACAAGCTATACTTTTTCATAGTGGAAGAATTACATCAAAACTAATCCAAAATCAACTTCTTAGAGTGATTTGACAAAAAATTTGACAAAATTTGACTTTATTTGACAAAAAATTTATAAGATTGATTTTGTGAACCAACTATTAGAAATTAGGTAAGGGACTTTGTCTTTGGATACATATGCTCGTAAGTTCTATGATCTTTGTGTTAGACACTTATAATGAGTTGTTAAAAGTGTAATGTTTCATCAAAGGTTTAAGTTTAGTGGATATGTAGTAGAAGGTTAAGAAGGATTTTCTAGCAACATTAATTAATGCTATCATTAACGCTTAGATTTTTTTGCCAAAACTATCAGTCAACTCTAGTTACCGGAATGGTCTACTAGGTAGTTAATGTGATGATCAGCTAGCTAATACTTCATATTCAGGAAAAAAACAACTATTATTATGTCATGGTTTGAAGAATGGAGATAGCAATGAGGCTAAGAAGTTTAGTTTAGACCAACAAGAGAAAAATAAGGTGGAGGGCAATTGTTTTTATTGTTATAAGGCTAAATATCAAAGCAAGGATTATCTTTTTATGAAAAGATTAAAGAATGTTAAGTTAAATGTGGTGGAATCCATCATAGATATGGTTTAGGCATTTGCTATAGTGGCTTTTCCACATCTATAGCGAAAGTTCAAGAATTTAAATTTCAAGTTCATATCAACTCTATAGAGCTTGATAGTTTTATATGCAATTAACTTGTGAAAGCCAAAAGGGACATTTAGGGTAGTGCAATTAGTAGTCTTTTCAATCTAAATGCTACACACAACTTTTTGAGTTCCAAAGTGGTAAAGAAACTTGGTTTGCTTGTGGAAAAAAGCTTGGTAATCTACAAGGTGGTTATGGTAATATGGATGTAGCATTTGTGTTTATGGTGAATAGGCTTTGAATATTCTTTTGACCGTTTAGGGGATTCTTGACCATCTTTCATTTCAAGTTATGGATCTTGGTCGCGCATATGTTATTTTTGGGAAGGAATTGTTTTATGACAAGAAGCCAAGGATCAATTGGGAGTATAATATTCTATATATTGAATTTAGTGGCGCAATAAAAGAGATTGTCAAAACAGTTAATAGTAATACTCTATTAATTAATACTTTGGAGTTGGTGATATACGTGTATAAGATAGCTAGCTTTTTTATGGTGTACTCATTTTTTTAAATATGATTATATTTGATTTGAAGTACGTTTATGGGCATAGGGTTTATTATAAGCCACAAATTTTTCCTTCCCAATTTGCTAACTTACTTCATTTATCTGACCACCATGGCCTTGGCTTTAATTAAGTTCCCTCGCCAAGGTTCTTGTCTATTGTACTAACTTTTATTTGGTTTTAACAACTCACTACATGAGCAACAAAGTGTTAACCATCCATTCACAAATTCCCAAATTCTCTCTCAATCCCCCTCCCCGGGTTAGACTGGACTTAAGGTTCGGCTATACTCCCTGCAAGGATAAGTAGCCAAACACACTAAGTTTCCAAATTTTTAACATCCTTTGTTATAATAAAATTTGATTATAAGACTCTATAAATCCCAAGCCTTGGGTGCAATATTTACTTCAGAACACCAAAAGAAAACATCATAGCCAAATAACCTGATATGGGTACCTTTATTCCCCCATTTCTATTTTGAAAGGAAGGCCTAAACCTCTAGGAAGGGTAAGGATTAATGAGGCATAAGGTACTCAAGTGGGGCACCACTTCATATGAGTCGAGAGCATTGTAATCAATTTCCCTTTTGGGAGTGGGAGCTACTCTTGAGCATTTCCTTAGGTGGCCCCTCTAACACCACTTGAGTCCATGCTCACTCTCCCGCCTAAGGCTTTTAAGCCCTAGTCTCAACTTTAAGTCAATTTGGAAGCACCATTGGAGAGTTTTTTCAAGATTGATTCCTAGACCTCACTATCCCTACTATATCCCTACTATACTTTTGGA